CCTCCTCCTCCTCTCCCATGGCGGCCTCGGGCTCACGGGGCCCGCGGGGGGGGGCAGCACCCTGCCGGGAGGCCTGCCCCGGTGCCCGGCCCGGGGGCCTCGAGTCCGGGGCGCTGTTCGCCGAGCCAGCGGGCGGGGGCCGCCGTGGCCTCCCTCGCGACCCCCCCTGGGGGCCTGCCCTCAAACCTCAGTGCCGCATTCCTCCTCCTCCGCCTCCTCTCCCTCCCCCTCCTCCGCCTCCTCCTCCTCCTCCTCCTCCTCCTCCTCCTCCTCTCTTTTCTTCCCCCTCCTCCCCTCCTCCTCTTCTTCTTCCCCCTCCTCCTCCTCCTCCTCCTTCTCCTCCTCCTCCTCCTCCTCCTCCTCCTCCTCCTCCTTCTCTTGTTCCTCCTCTTCCTCCTCTTCCTCCTTCTCCTTGGGTTTCGCCTGCCTTGTAAAAAGGCTCCGCAAGGTCATCCAGGGACCCGGCCTGGGACCTGGGGCCAGGAACCGAGGAGGACGACAGGGCAGGAGCAAGAGGAGGCGGACGGGGGGGGGGGCATCGGCAGCAGCGGCAGGAGGCTCCACAGGCGTATCGGAGGACGAGGGTTAAGCTCCGCGACCCTGGGCCTGCGTTCCCTGGACGGGGGTCGTCAGATTCCCCCCCAGGGCGTCCTCACGGGGCCTCTTGCGGGAGCCTCTCTCGTCCGCGGGCACAGTGCGCGGACGGCTCAGCCGCCCACGCACTCGGCTGAGAGGGGCTCTCCGTCCCATGGGGCCGCCGCGCTCCACAGGCGTCAGCCCTCGTCCTGGCTGGGCCTCGGCGGGCTCCCGCGAGGCGAGGACAGACGAGGCAGCGCCAGCCATTCCTGCTCTGTGCGGGGGGGTCGGCCTGCCCAGTCGGCCCCACGCGAGGGCCTCGGCCCGCGAGGCGTCGGGCGCGTCGGCGCTCCGGCGGGGCGCGGCCGCCGACGGCAGCGGCAGCTGCACCAGCGCGTGGAGCTCCACGTCGGTGGTCCCGCGGGCGACGCGCCAGCGGCACGTCACGGTCGGCCACTCCCTTCTTGTCGGAGGGAGGAGATGCGGCACCAACACCACCAGGGGGGCCACCTCCAGCGAGGAGGTCCACGATGCCTCCCCGAGCTGGAGGCTGGGGACGTCTCGAGCGAGAGGGGGGGACCACACCACCAGGGCGACCCCCCTTGCTCCTCGCATCCCCTCGCCCTGGTGATGTTGGCGTCGCCTTTCCTTGCTCCTATTTTACCTTCGCGATCCCCTGCGTGTCCCGGATCCGGGAGGCAACTTGGCGGGCGCGCGCCAGGAGCCTGCCATGCTCGCCCGCGGCGTCCTGCGAGAGCGCGTGCTTCGCCGGGCCACGCCCGGGCGGCCAGGGCCGCCCAGTCGTGGCCTCGGACGCCCTGCTTCTGGAGGCCCGCCTCGACGGTCGGGTGGGCCTTGGCGCGCGCGAAGGTGGAGGCGACGCCGCCTGGCCCTCCCTGATCGCCTGTCGCCCCCCGCAGGCGCTCCCAGAGGCCACGATGCTGGCGCCGTGGACGGCAGCACCATTCACGTCCGTGTCGACTGCCCTTGGGGACCATCCTGCAAATCATTGTGGATGTTCCTCGGAAGGATGCCGTTCTTCGTCGCCAGGAGCACCGCGAATAACCCAGCTCGTGGTACTGACTGTTGTGCCCCAGGTAGAGGTCCACAAGCAATCCCTTTGAATCGCGGACCCTCCATCAGGGCTAGGCCCCATCCAGCACGGCATCTTCCAGACCACCCAATCATCAATGTGCGACCCGATCCGTCGCTGTATATCTCACCCGTGAGCTGCTGCAGCTGGCCGTCGTACAGTTGAGGCACATGCCGAGAAACACTCTGCGTGTCTCAAGGGCGCCCTTGGTTTCTTGGGTTTCGATGGTTTTGCATGGTTTTGCGATGGGGAGCGCGACGTTCCCGCGCCAAACATCCATGGACGTCCTGAGGTCTCAGGGTTGGGTTTATGGTGGGAGGTTTCTTGTGGAGGGGCCCTACTGTACATGGTAGTTGGTCCTTTGGCCTTTGGTAGGGCATCCCGTGAGAGGAGGCCTCGTGTGTACAGCATATCGTTGGCCGGGGCTTCTCGCGCTGCCTCCACAGTCGCAGGTGCAACTGCCATTGTACGCTCCTGCTCCATCGCAGGGCAGCGCCATGGCCTGTGGTGCAATGTACCCTCGCAGTCCTGGCAAAATCAACATTCCTCAGTGTCGGCGTATCCGTGTTTGTGCAGTCGAGCCTCAGACCATTGCCCTCCAATTATAATGTTGCGGAGAGCTGCCCAGGCGCGCAATGTAAGATGAAACGAGCGACTCTGCTCGCGCGGGGCGAGAAGTAAACGGAGTGGGGCCATCCAATATCAAGAAGATGATACCCCATTGGCGGCGGTCCAGTCAAACAGTGCATGTACTCGCCATCGAAGCTGATCCAAGATATGTCTCACAGCACCAGGACGGCCTGCCACGCCCTTGTCAGTTGTGAATTACCGTCCGCTGGCTGTCCTCAGTAGTGACTACTGTGGGGTAAACGCCTTGACCATCGCAGCATTGCCCCTCGCGGGGCCACAAACCAAGGTGGCCCATGTGCACAGCGGCTTCACCGTAGCGGATACATCAGGACGCTGGTCTCGACGCGGTTTAAGCTGATACGCCAGCCGCGTGGAGGTGCCGGTAGGAGTCTTTGACCAGCCCACTCTGACGGTGGGAGTCATGGACTTGATGGTGGACTTCGTTGCGCCCACCACCTGTACGCCGTAGAGTAACGCTGGTCCGATGGCTGGCGGGGCTATCGCCCTGCCTATCTTGGCCATGACCATGAGGCGCTTGAAGCGTGGAAGGCGTGCCCGCATCTTGCGTGCGCGCTTGCGTGTCGATGAGTGTCGAAGTTGTTCTCCCCCACGAGACTCAAGACCACGGATCTCCAGGGCCGAGCATTTGCAGAAGCCTTGCCTCACTTCCTTCGCCACCTGCTTGGCGATGCCAGTGTTGGGCGACATGATTTTGGCTTTGTTCGCCGCAATGGGGAGCTCCATCGCGCGTGGAACCAACGCCAGTCGCTGGATGATGCGGGCCGAAATCTCGACTATGCGCTGCAGCGTGGGAATAACCTGCAGCGCGATGTCGTCAGCGTACTCGAGGGGGCGTCACCCCCGCCGACAGCCAAACATCGACCCCCGTCGCAGGCAGCTACCGCGCGCCGAAGGCGCTTTGACTTTTGTCGCGGCGCGACGACGAGGCGAGGTTGACCTCCGTCGGGGGGGTACCCCCCCGCGCATATGAAGAAACCCAGAGTAGATGTCCAGGCAGAGGTGGCCAGGCTCCGTCGCGAAGCTCTGCGCGAAAACGTCGAATGGCAGCATCATCGCCAGCTGGGGCAAGTACGTGGCCACCGTGCATCCTGGCAAGATGCCCCTCTGAACCCGCACGGCGCACGAGTAGGTGGAGCCACGGCACATGCGTCGAGGAGCGCAGCGCATCGCCAGGCATAGCTTCAAGAGCGGCGTCTGAAAGTTTAGCCGCGCAGCGGCCCTCAAGTCACTGTTCCAACATGCCCTGGCGAAGCACGTGCTGATGTTGATGAGCATGTTCAGCACCGCCGTGCTGCTGCGACCTTCGTTCGCTGCACAGAACAGCAGCGTCATGGCTTCGCCCTCCACCGCCGACTTGCCAGCCCCCAGTGCGAAATACGGCCTCTTGTGTTCCGCCATCCATATCCTGATGTGGTGAATGCGCATCTTGGCGCCAACTCGGTAGAGCGACGGCAGCAGCGCAATGGGGCGACCCCCCCCATCTGAAATTTGCGTAGTAGCATGATGTGGGTGGACAACATTGCGGAAGGCCACCTCGACCAAGACTCCGCAGCCCAGAATACGTGCAGCATGAGCGCCAATGCCGAGTTCGATAACAAAGCCCATGCCTTGGGCGGTAATCAAGTTCCGTGCCCCACCTGAAGGACATCGCCGCGTTCCTGACCTCCTCAATGGTCGGGGCGGGGAGGGTGTTGGAGGGCAGCTTGGCAATGTGTATGACAATCTCTTGGTCTCTCGTGTCGATGATGTGCTGCATGTCGCAGGCCAGGTCGTCTCCAGGGTTGTCGTCGTCCTCCTCGTCCCTGACGTGGTACTTGGCACATGACGGCTTCATCGTGACAGGCGTGCCCTCCCAGATCGCGGTCCATTTGTCCATCTGGCTGTCGGCGATCGCCTGCGGGTGCGAGAGAAGTTGGCCGCGGCGCTGGACCTGGCTGCGCTGTCCAGGTCGAGGTGCGGCCCGTGGCGAAAAGAGGGGCGCTGGACGCGCGGCCAGTTTGTCCCGAGCCCATGCCTTGTGAGCTCGAGGTCTGGTGTACAGTCGGGGCGTTGAAGAAGGAGCTCTTTTCGTTGGGGAGGGACTCGGTGTTCCTTGATTGTTCTGCAGTTTGCCTTCTGTGTACCTGAGGTCTTCCATGGGGAATCGAAGTTTAACTTATGCGAAAAAGGGGCCCCGTTCCTTATTTAGGGTTCCTTAGGTCCACACCCCGACTGTAGGCAGGTTCGCGCTTGCGTCGATCTGCCAGCACTTGAAGTTGGTGCGTGTAGACCTCCAAGCAAGCTCGAGCCTGTAGCGGCGCACGCTGGGCGGCGGGGTGGACGATCGGCCGGGCCGTGGCATGCAAGAGGATGCCCTCGCGACACTGCGGAGATACTGGCGATGCCCAGGTCGACGCACACGCGCGAGCCGTGTCCAGCGGTCCGTGCCGAGGCGCTCATCCGCCAAGTATGTTGCACGAGGTCGTGCATAGCCTGTCCAAGTGCTCGTAGACATCGCTCCTCACTGCCAGCTGCGGGTTGAGGTCCTCGCTTGGGCCCTTAAATGGGCCTCCAGATGCATCCGGCACCGTCAACTCGCCCTTCATGTTGGAGACGCTGCTCCAGGTCCAGCTGGTAGATGTGGCCCAGGTCGCTCTGGACGTTGGTGAGCAGCGCGAAGTGCAAGGCGCCCGGCCCGTGCTGTGCCTGGGTGCCCGGGGTGGGGGTGTCCTGGCGCGTGCCATTGTCGACCACGTCCAGGTAGTTGAGCTCTGCAGGTGGCTCATGGAGTGGATCACATCCTTGGGCTGAGGGTGAGGCCCTGGAAAAGACCTCCGGCCCACGCATGGTCAGCTGCTGGATATTCCTCGGCTGCGCTGCGAAATCCAAACGCACAGGCTTATGAGGTCGAGCAGGCCACTCATCATGTGCACGAGGCCGCTGGCAGGCGGCTTGGACGTCCGCCGAGTTGATCCGGTAGTCGAACACGGCGTAGCGCCCTGCTGCTGTGCGACACGTCATTTCCCCTCTGCAGTGCAAAGGATTCCCTGGAGCATGTCGGCGTAGCCGTGGAGCTCGTTGTCGGCAGGCACCTGGTTCCAGTCGCCCGCGATGATGAATGAAGAGCAGGCCGAGGTGGTTCAAGCGGTCCGCCGGCGCTCGGTAGCAGTGGAGGTTCGCATAGATGTAGTTGGTCGCGGAGGTGGGCTCCATGCAGACGGAGCCGACGATCAAGCCGCCTGGCAAGCCACAGTTCACGTGGATGAGGACGGACCAGGCAGGCATTATCTCGAAGGTGACCTCCCCTTGTGGGTTGGGCAGCTGCGTGGCCTTGATGTGCGATCGCACGGAGATTTCCACGCCCGCGCTCGGGAAGCCAGTGGACAGCCTCATGCACGGTGTGACGTAGGGAGCCCAGCCATGTGCGACCGCCCAGCGTCTTCCACGTTCTAGCTGCTCTCCGTCGAGTCGGAGCTCCTGCGCGGCCACGACCTCGGCAACCCCTGCACCCTCATCCAAAAATTGCTGGATCGAATTCCAGCAGGAGCCATTGAAGGTCCACGTTGCCGAGCTCTTCGGAATCATCGATGTTGTGGGTCGGACGCGCCCGACCTCGCCTGCGTATATACTCTCATGCGTTGGCTGTGGCGGCGGTGGCGTCGACGTCCATGACAGGCCGAACGGACTGGCCATGTGGAAACGTAGTTGTCGCAGGCGCTGTGGTCACAGCTGGAGTCGGCCGCTGCTGTCCTAAAGGGCCTGCCGCTGCCAGCTGCGACGGAGTCCCCGCAGGCACTGGCGGTGGTTGTGATGGCGCCAGGTGGCCCGCGAGGCCGCCCAGTAGTTGCGCGCCGACGGACTCCTTGGAGCTGCCGCTCTGGACTGCAGGGGTGCGCTGGAGGTTCGCCATGGCCTTGGCCGCCTCATTGGCCTGAGCGAGGGCCGCGGGCTGCGCGAGGGCCGCAGCGGTGGCGACCGCAGCCTGCGCCTGGCTGACCTCCGCTCGGATGGTGGCGACCTCGGTGGCGAGGACCTGGCGCCGCTCCTTGCCCTCCACGAGCCTCGCGCCCAGCTCCTCGACCAGGGCGGCCTGCTCCTCCAGCTCGGGCAGCCTGACGACGAGGCGGCCCTCGGCCGAGCGGAGGAGGTGGTCGGGCGCCACGTCGGCGCGCGCCGTGGCCTCCGCGCCCGCCGGGGCGCCGCAGGCTGCCACGACCCGCGCGCTGCTCTCGCCGTTGCCACCAGGGGCGTCAACGCTGTCCGAGTGCGCGGGCGGCGGCTGGCGACCTCCGAGCCCGCCGGGCTGCTGGCGGCGCGGCGTCCAGAGCTGCGTGCCCGGCGTCGGCAGGAGGAGGACGACCTTCTGCCGGACAGGACCCGGGCGGCGGCCTCCTGCTGCGACGTCTCGGCGGGGGGGTCGCTGTCCGTGGCGTCCGGCGGCTGCCGCCCACCGTGGTCGCGCCCGCAAGCCCAAGCACGTCGTGCGGCCAGGGCAGTGCTTCTGGAGCCCACGCCCTCGTAGGCATCGCAGACCGAGGCCGTGGCATCCTGCATACCCTGGTGCACTGCCTCACCCTGATGGCCTCGCAGGAGGGCGCTGGCGGTCTCCGCGCGAAGCAGCGCCCTGGCCTCGGATCGCCTTCGGCGGAGGCGCCCATGCCAGGCAGGCGAGGGTGAGCGGCGATCGCGGCGGCCGCTCGTGTGGAAGGAGGGGAAAAGCACCGCCGCCCGCTGAATCTGGGCGAATGGCTGGGGTTTTGCGGGAAGCGGGCGGCCCCAGCTGCCCGAGCGCAGAACTCTTTCCGAGGAGGAGGAGGAGGAGAGGGAGGAGGAGGAGGAGGAGGAGGAGGAGGAGGAGGAGGAGGAGGAGGAGGAGGAGGAGGAGGAGGAAGAGGGAGGAGGAGAAGAGAGGATCGAGGAGGAGAACGAGGATGCGGGAGGAGCATGAGGAGGAGGGGGAGGAGGAGGAGGAGGAGGAGGAGGGAGGAGGAGGAGAGGCGGAGGAGGAGGAGGCGGAGGAGGAGGAGGAGGAGGTGACGAGGAGGAGGAGGAGACGAGGAGGAGGAGAGGAGGAGGAGGAGGAGGAGGAGGAGGAGGAGGTGACGAGGAGGAGGAGAGGAGGAGGAGGAGGAGGAGAGGAGGGACGGAGGAGGAGGAGGAGGAGGAGGAGGAGGAGGAGGAGGAGGAGGAGGGAGGAAGAGGGAGGAGGAGGAAAAGGAGGATCGAGGAGGAGGAGGAGGAGGAGTAGGAGTAGGAGGAGGAGGAGGAGGGGGAGCAGAAGGAGCAGACGGAGGAGGGATGAGGAGTTGGAGAACGAGGAGGGAGGAGCAGGAGGAGGAGGAGGAGAAGGAGGAGGGAGAAGGAGGAGGAGGAGGAGGAGGGAGAAGGAGGAGGAGGAAGAGAAGGAGGATGGGGAGGAGGAGGGGAACGAGGAGGAGGAGGAGGAAGAGGCAGGAGGAGGTCGACCCTCAACTGATAAAGTGAGGGAGTGGTCCTGGGGTCTTTTTTGTCTTCGGCCTCCCCGGTATCTGCTGGTGCCCCAGGCACGTCGCGAAGATGCTCGGGAATGAACAGCAGGCTTTCGGGCAAATCCTGGGGTGCAGGATCCGCCTCCTCGGGGCCCCTTTTCGCGGCGGCGAGCCAGGGGGGAAAGTGAGAAGGCCTCCTCCTTCGGCACGTCCCCCTCGCTCGCCGCCGATCTTCCTGGCTCCCAGGGGGTCTCCGAGGGTCGGGCCGCGAGTGCGCGCGCGCCCTGGGTCGGCCCACGCTGGGGTGTCCCTCTTCGCCGCCGAGGGCGAGCAGGCCAGAGAGCCAGCAATCGAGCTGGGTTTCAGCTGTCGGCGGGCGTCGAGCAGACGGGGCGGGCCTTCTCGGAAGCCTCGAAGACCCCAGGGCTTTGTGGGAAGTCTGCTAAGCCTTCTCAAGAGACGCAGAAGGCTTCTCAGAAGGCGCGGGGGGTTCTGAAAAGCTCCGCCGCCTTCTGAACAGGCGTCCTCCTTCTCACTTCCCCCCTCGCTCGCCGCCGATATTCCACCATGCAAAATTGGAGATGTGTCTCGTTATAATACGACGATCTCGTTCGCCACAGGTCTGGGCTGAGGACCCAGAGAGATCGATGCATCTCGGAATGCACGCACCCGATGTGTCAATGTCCCAGTCATTCTCCACCCGGCAGGTCGATGCTGTCATATTGTAAGAGAAAGGCTCCCGACCAATCGATTGGCGCAAGGTGTTTAAAGGACGGCGTGGTTTTCAGCAACTGACAAATGAGGAGTTCATCCGCCCCGCCAGATGAGCAAGTCATGCCGCCCCGCAAAACATTACGGGCCCGTCGCCTGGGCTTCGGTTCTGGCATGACCCCAGACATGAAGTCGAATGCCTGGGGGACCCCCAAAGTGACGGTAGCAGCAGCAGCAGCAGCAGCAGCAGCAGCAGCAGCAGCAGCAGCAGCAGCAGTAGTAGTAGTAGTAGTAGTAGTAGTAGTAGTAGTAGTAGTAGTAGTAGTAGTAGTAGTAGTAGTAGTAGTAGTAGTAGTAGTATTAGTAGTAGGAGTAGTAGAAGTAGT